GCAGTACTCGATGTACAGATAAAGGGTGAGCTTTTCGCTGAATCATTTGTTGAAAGAGGAATGAAAGTGTATCATGGCCACTATTTCGACAGTGAACGCATTTCCCTTATAGTTTCTGATTTTCTCCGGCATGTTTTAGCATCGGAGATTTTATGGTGAATAGGATACATTCTAATTATTGAAAGCACTGTCGTAGAATAAAATGGGGAGTGTTCTGAGAAAAGGGCCCAAATTGATAAAAAAATTTCTTCACAAAAAATCAATTACCTCGTGAATTATTAATCAGGATTGCATAATTTTGGTACCATTCGATTTGTCTCATCGAGAGGAATCGAATAGTACTAAAATCATACAATTCTGATTAATAGTTCACGAGATAATTGATTTCTTGTGAAGAAAATTTTTTATTAATTTGGGCCCTTTTCTCAGAACACTGCCCAAATATTCTAACTTACAAAATGAGCATGTACTGTATTTATTTTATTTTTATTCATTAGCCTATTGACATTTATTTGTGAAGTCTCTGGAATTTGATTCAATGTAAATTAAATTACAAATAATATAATATTATATTTAAAAAAAGCCATTGAAATAACATTATACAGTATCATTTTAACTAAAATTCACAAGTCGCTCAGCCCAGGACCAAAAATGTGGCTTAGCATATGCCCGATAGATTGTTTATTGATATTTTTTCAGGGCTCATCATAGTTTATTGCCAACCCTGGGCTGCTCAGCCGTAAATGAGTTAGAAATGATTCTCAGAACCCAACAATTAAGTATAACTTTAGGTGTCATAATAGGCCCCTCTGTAGATTATATCGAAGTGGGACTTTTGAGGCAACAATAGAAGCTGAAACATCTATCATAATAGCTAGTAAGACAAATATTGCATTACACATCCTTCTTGATCGACTTCATGAAAAGCTTTCATCTTTATAAACTTTCGCCATATCATTCACTTATTCATTATAATGATGGATATATGGACGTTTTGTGAATATACTGTATAAACTTTTTCATCAATTAATTCATCAAAATTTTTTTTTTTTTTTTTTTTTTGAAAAGCTTATTTTCCTCCACATGGTGTGATCTGAGGGTGTACACATTAAAAGGGCCCATTTTTACATATAAACAATTATATATAAATTTTTATTTAAGTTCATTTTGCGAATCTTCTTATATAATTGGCTTTAGTAGTTAGAGCAAACTTTTTTATCTATTTAAAAATCAAAAAAAATGTTAAAATTAGTTACACTAGTTATATTAAAGAAAAAATATTTGTAGACATTGTTGAGCTCTTAAAGAGTATGGGTTTACTATTAAGTATGTCGGGTTTCTTATTGAGTATTTGTCAAGTTATCGTGTATCCGAAGGTACGCTGCCACTAGGTGTAAAATCTAATGGAATTGAAAGTTCACCATGGCCACCGGTGAACGCTCTTCTGTTCGTGTCCGAAAAGCCAATTTTATAATATAGTAAGGCCGGGTTAGATTGTCTATCATGAAGCAAACCTAATACACGAATTCCACAAGATATTCTTTCTGATCCTATTGAACTAGATTTCGCACTTCGGGACGAGTGGTGAATAAGATACACGCTAATTACTAAAGTAAACTATTCCGGCTTACGTTCTTTAATTGTTCATTGATAGGGAGCGTAACGACGAAGAGGTAAATATCATTTGCGAAACAAGAGGGGTCTTAATGCAAGAATTGGGATAACACAATAGGTTGGTTTTAGTGTTAATTCAAAAAATTATAAAAATTATACTAATGGAAAGTAATATATGACCCTCCATTGTTTGTTGGTTTTAACGTTTCTACAATTAATAACAATCTTAAAAACATTTAAGCCTAGAAAAAGTTATTTGTAATCAAATTTTATTGGAAAGTCATTGAAAACATACTATAACTTCAATGATAGTTAAATCGAAAGAAATTAATTTCACGAAAGAATCAAATTATTCTGTCACCTTGACGGATAAATCTCATCTTAGATAATCTCAAAAATAGACCGTATAATTTTTCATTTTACCATGATCTTATAAACCATTAATTTCGTTACATTACACACTTACCCTAGACATACTTACACGAACGATTCTCTAATTTCACTACACGTCTATCCCGTCATTCGTTGATCATTCCTTAATTCCAAATCCACTGAAGTGTAGTACACCTGTTACTCGAGCATTGAACCTCTACGTGGTGTGACAAGGATAACCAACAAACGATTGCTTTTTTTTTTATCTTTACTTTATGTATATTTTAATAGTTTAGTGGTAAATACATAAAATCTGTTCAACTGATTTATAGATAAATGCATAAATTTCTATAATCTATTGCTCTATATTTTTTTCTGTATATTATATTATTTTTATATCAATAAAATTGG